TTCCAGAAGACATCAGTTGCCTATGGAACAAAAAAGGTGCCTTTAATAGGTTAAAGTCATACTTCCAGTGGTGGGATTCAGCCGGTTCGCACCAGTTTGGCAGAACCATTACCTACTTTCTCTTGAGTTCGGTGAACCGATTGTTAAAATGGCACTTGAAAAAAGCGGAGTTTGTATGCACACCTGCCTCGTGCTCACCGCGCGTCCCCCATGCTTTCCACGGTGCATAGCAGCTGACCTGAGGCAGCCGGCCAGGCACAGGAAACAGTGCAGTCTGTGTGCACACTTGCCTTGCCTGCATCAGCCATGCTCTCCACAGTGTGCTGCAGTGATCCGAGGCGTGGAGAGCACAGCTGACAGGTGAGTGTGCAGCAGGTGCGCAGATTCTGCTGTTTTCGGCGGTGCTTCAGTGCCTGGCCAGATACCTCGGGTCAGCTGCAGATTGTCGTGGAGAGCATGGCAGACACGCCCGAGGCTTTTTTCGGTGCCCTCCCAAGAGATGGCATGGCGATTGGTCAGCAGGCACGCCACGAATGGGGATTTACCATCCCCCAAACCCTGTCATTGCCAAAGTGGATCCCAGGCTGCAATGTGTGCTGCAATGGAGAGACGGGAAGTGGAGCAGCAGGCGTAAGGGAAGGTGGAGCGGGGAGTAGAAAGAGGGAAAGCGGCAGAGTGAGAAGCGGGGCCATCCTGGCATCGAATCACTGCTGAAAACAGTGTGTGCGCCTGCTACACGTTCACCCGTCAGCCATGCTCTCCATGCCTCGGATCAGCTGCAGCTTACCATGGAGAGCATGGCTAACGCGGGGTTAGCATGTGGCAGGCAGGCACATGGACTCTGCTGTTTTCGTCAGCGCTTCTCACTCAGCCACTTTTCCTCTTTCTTCTCCCTGCTCCTCCTTCCCTTGCACTGCCTGCTCCACTTCCCGTCTCTCCATTGCAGCACACATTGCAGCCCGGGATCCATTTTGGCAAACTTCTTTTGTTTGTGGCACAAGGTTAGCATAGAAATGCTTTGGGAAGGGAGGGCATCTGTTCAGTGGTCAGTGGGGCAAGCTGTCCAGCTCTGACACGCTTCTCCACCGCCGTGGGCAGTCCCACAAACAAAAGAAGTTCTGAAAAAAGATGCAGTAGTCATAAAAGTTACTTGTTTTCTGCATCTCTTTATGTTTGAGAACATACCCTGATTACATTAAGGAAATGGATGATAATGAACTTTTTAAATGGGAAAACAAGTTAGCAATATGGTTTTTCATTAACCATTTCTAATCTTGGAATTCTACAAAATTGAGAAAAAAATCTTCAGATTTTTCAGAAAAGCTGGGAAACTTCCCTAAGAAGTATAATCAAGTATCAATTAAAAAAATCCTCAAATTGGCAGTTTTCCCCTAAATATAGAATCTGCCCAGTATCTCTTACAACCTACTACAATTGGGAAATTTATGTCTCTAAATCCCATCATTAAACTCATAATGGTGCTTCTACACAGCATTTATACAAAAATTAAATGGGACTCCATACATCCCAATCAATCAACTTCTCCAAACACTCAACAACTCACTATAACCCATATAGAAATCAATCTTGGAGTGTTCACTGGAAGGACTCACTATCCCATTAAAGTACTATGTCACTGATGCCCCTGCACTTTGTCCTCTCGCTACAAGGGGTGGTTCAATTCAGGCAATTTTGTCTCGCGCAGAACATTGCTGATGCTCATCATTTCAAAACCAACCAAGTGACTCCAGTCCTTCAGCAGCTAGGCCACCTAGGTCTTTTCTATGTCTATGATGATTCTCAGTCACCTATGTCATGATTGCCCCAAAGAAGCTGACTGAAGAAGCTTCTTGGATGAGAAGTGAAATGTCTTCAAGGAAAAAAAGGTTCAGTTGCCTTTTGAAAAAGCCACCTGTAATTCTTCTCTATTATCAGCAGGATACCTCAGCTCAACACTGTGATCTTCCAACACCAGAAAAATCAAAAGTACCCCAAATACCAGGAATTCAGAGAACCTCATCAAAGGAACAAATCCTTTAAGGCCACTATTCCATTCTGATTTCTCAGATTCACCCCCTTCTCCTGGTGGGTGCCCCCGCACGCTTGCCACCTACTATAATGTAAGACATCCCCACAAAATAAGATCTAATGGGTCTTTTGGTTAAAAAAAATATATAAGACCCAGTCTTACTTTCGGGAAAACAGGTAACATAATCTAGTTGTGTGTACTTCTTTTATTGTTCTTATTTAAGTATTAAATATATGGAATAATAAACTACCTCTCAGTATATCGGTTTTATACTTAAAATGGTCATTAGGGCAGATAACCGGTTGTTAAATTATTTGAATCCCACCACTGCATACTTCCATAACATAAGAAAACGTGCCATTGTAAAGGAAGAAAATATGAGACTTAGCCTCAGGATTGGCCTACTCAAACTCAAGCTGGGTGAATCACCAACCTCCTTCCTACTTCTTGTTTAAACTCTAAATTTCCATCTTAGCTCTGAGGCTACTCCTTCAAAGACACATAACACCATTCTGCCAGATCCAGCTAACTCCCTTCTAGTATAAAAATTATCCACAGTATAAATCTTTGGATTTCCAAAAAAATATTTCTAGTAACATTAATTCTGATATAACTCACAATCTAGCACAAAAGCAATTTATTAATATCTGAAGCACCCTGCTTTCAACAGAGGCAAAAAAGGGGATTTTTTAACGAATCTGCTCAAATGTTCTACAGTTTATTATTAGATTTATACCCCATTTCTATTTTATTCAACTCAAAGTGGCATACATAATATCCCCACTTATTTTTTCCCTAACAACAACTCTGCAAGATGGGTTGAAAGTCCATCCAACCAGCTTCTTTGGCTAGCAGAGAACTTGAACTCTTGCTCTCCCAGTTTCTAATCCAACACCTTAACCATTACATCAAATTGATTTGTTCAAAGTTACCTTGTTTATGAACAATCCAGTCATTTTTTTTCTCCCTCTCCCCACCTTTTAAAAAAAATATTCTTACACTGTAAGTGGATTTTTATAATATTAATTAATATAGTCTGTAAGAGTTATTACTATTTTATTTGGGGTACATTATCAATATTATACACTATGTTTTTGTTTAACTCAGTAATTTCATCTATGTGTCACAAAGAGTATGTTTAATTAATGCAAAAAAAAAAATTGAAATAAAAAATCCTGAACTTGCTGGCCAATTTATAGATATAAATTTGAAGGGAAGATCAAAAATATATTCCAAAAATACCAACCTAAAAGAGATCATTCTTACTTAGGACAATTCCCCATGATTGTACACAGCAGTATATTCACAAGCTTTCTGGTAAGGAGAAACAAGAGAAAAATTAGACACATTGTTACCACACACAACTTACCATTATATTGTGGCCACTTAATAGATTTGAAAGCCATTTTAAGTCATGGTGCTTGAAGACAATAAAAACTGCAATAGTTTTAGGATCGTAGTGAAGTGGATCTGAAAAAATTGACTCTGGATAGAAAAGTCGGAATGTTGTTCTCCTTCCAACATCATCTTCATAGCCTATAACAGGTCCATTATTCATTCTGTTGAAGAAAAATATTAATAGTTATGAAAAATCCCATTTTTATTTCTGAAGTACAACTTCAAGACAGTGCATTCAAAAGCAGAATTTGTTCTAATATTGGTTAAGGCTGCATATATGTAGATTTCACCTCTAAATACATAATAGATGCAATATGACAACAGGGAGGTTTGATTGAAATAATATTAGGTTACATGCTTTAACTCAACTGCTGGAAACTTTTGCTGTTATTTTCAGGAGCACTTCCTGTGAGAAAAATCTGTCAAGAGACATAGAAAAACCCAAATCCCCCTCAAAACTGAGTAGGTGTTAATTGGGGTCTATCTGTATGCATTGCCTTATGCTATATATCAGTGTGCCATTTTCTGCCTCTTTTCCTCATAATTATAGGGGCCTATACCCATAATCATCAGGATGATGATGGTACCCATAAGAAAGCTAATGACAAAATACTTGGTTTCACAACAGAAAATTTCTTTACCTAATTATCACATCGTAAGAATCAATTTTTTGACCCAGGTTTTTGTTTCGAAGAATTCCTCCATTGCCAACCACAATACATTTTTTACAGGATGAGCTGCAGAAGGATAAGAACACATCTATTAAGCATTATACAATAAATGTGTCTTTACAAACAGAAGAGCGATGTTAAATATAATCCACTGAAAATATTACCATCAGTGTTCATATTCAGATGCCCTGAAGATGAGGAAGGAGACAAAGGAATACTCTCTAAAAATCAACCTACTGCTGCAGGTTAAGTCTACTGGATTTGAAATGGGTTTTTAAGCAGGAGGCAGAGCTCCCCAACCAACATCATTCCTGACAGTTTCTCATTTGTAAGCACAGTTTGTAAGCACAGTTTCATTTGTAAGCACAGTTTCCAAAGCTACTTTTCAGTTAAACTACAGCAAAAAGGAAATGGAAAACAGACATAGGACACTTTGTTTGAGCTGCAAAAGATGTGCAATCACAAGATCCATTTTATTTCATTTTAGATTTTTGTTCATCTTGCACAATAGATAAAGATGATAGGCAAAAATTTGCTACTTTTAAAATTACAGTTTCATGTCACTTAATTCATATAGAGAGAAGGAAGAGACATTATATAAGAAAGACCGCCAAAGAAAAGAGAAGTCTGCAGATTTGGAAAGCCCCATAAACCATAAAATAAGTAGTTTTCAATTATGTCATCAATTTAAGTTTCACTGGTTATACTATCAACTCAAGAACTGTCAAAAGCATCAAAACAATGCTTCTATTAATGAAAAAAAATCTGCTATTAGAATTCTATTAAGAAATACGAAAAGCAGTATTATATCATAAGATGCATGGATTTTCTTACAAAGCTCTCTAATATCAGATAAAAGATACAATCTTCACCTCTCATCTTCCGGGAACAGGTCACAGCTTTCAAGTTTTGAAAGTGCTTGTTGAAAATAGGTTTCTGTAACAGAAACATTTTATTTAAAAAAAGAACCAGCATTTTATTGTCCCAACAACATTTAGCATAATTGATTTGAGTATAATTTATTGTTGCTGTAAAACTAAAGCGCATGCAGAACAGATTTCTGTGCAGGAACTTTCTTTTGGATTTTTAGACCTAACAAAAAATAAGGCCACCTCAATCTAGGTACCTGCATGAACATGGCTTGCAAGCAGAATTTAAGCACCACATTCAACAATAAGAATGTTATCCTGAGGCAACTCTCATTGAGTCATATAAAAGACTGAAGCAGAATAATCTCTAGATATTTAATTACATTCCTAAACATATAATTACAATCAGACTAAACACATTCTAAACATTTTATCCCCTTCTCAGCGAGTTTGATCTGCTACTCAAATATATTTAGTAGAAGCATTTGCTACAGAACTATAAGAACTGTTCTCAATATGTGCAAGTTCTCAGTGTTGCGATAATGGTCTTGTTCAGATACATATGGTTAACGCTCAATATACAGTATACAGATATAGGAAGGCCTTACCCAGTATTACAAATGAAGAGAGTACAAGAAAGCAGATCCTGCATCTTCTAATTTTACTGCCAAGGCATATTGTTCATTTATGTTTCATTCTATTTCTATGTAACACTTCTGAAAACACTATGCCACTGAATAAAACAAAGAACACATCTTACATAATTGAAGCTTAACCATATGCTGTTTGTATTATATAATGGTATATGCAGAGGTTCCCAACTTTTTTGGCAATTTTTCCATGGACTGAGGGCGTGGGTATTTTCCCATGTACCATTAACATACCAACATTTACTTACCTGCATGCTTCACTCCATAAGGTAGTTCAAACTTATTACTTCCACGACTTGCAGATATATCAAAAAAATTACTTTTGCACAAGAAAGGACATAAATTATCCATCCTAAAGAGAAGGGAAAAATGCCTATTTGTATTTATGTGGTTACTTTACGCTGTTTTTCAGACTACCCTATTTCTCACCAATTAAACTCTTAATTTAATATAATAATTAAACAACCCAAAAAGGCAAAAAAGGTAAATAACAATTGTAATATATTTTTGAGAGACATAAATACAAAAAATTACTGAAATAACAACTAAATTAAGATTTTCTGTAAGAACACAGACACATTTTTGAAAGACTTATTCCAGAAATATAGGGTGAAAATTGAAAAGGCATTTTCTCTGATATTCATACTGTCTAATGAAATGTGACGAGTAAGATGGCCAGGCATCTTATTAGGATTTCAGTATAATGAAACAGACCCTCACATGAACATACTGCCTGCTCTAAGAATTTGCTCAAAAATAGTACACCAGCTCCTGGATAATACTTGTTCTGGTCAATTGTACAAATTAAGAATTCATTATTTCCACTTTCAAGACAAACAGATTCATGAATGAAGCATATGAAATGCCCCACACTTGTAAGCAGTTTGTTTACATCCTCAGATGTACAATGTGAAATATATCTACAACCAGACCAGCTACTTTATCTCTGGCCCTCAGATAATGTATATACACATATGCATTTCAATCATTATGACTGCCTGGATTAGTCTCTGCAGTTATCTTGGCAAGATCACCAAGAAAGCAATGACAAGTGGTTTGCTACTGTCTTCTTCCTGGAACTGAGAATGACTTCCAAGGTCACGTTTCATGACTAATGCAGAACTAGAACACACTGTCTCCTGATTTCTAGTCTGTACCTTAACTACTTCACCAAACTAGCTCTTATAGGTTGGATACAACTATAAAATAGCTTTATTTCTATAAACTGAAGATGGACTTTTAGAACATTGTTGTTCTATCAGTAACTATGTCAGTTATTTGGGAAGTTGGTGACTTCACAAAAAATTTTAAAAATTGTTTTTTCAGAATAGGGAACACCCAATATACAACGAAGTAAGCATTTTCCAAACAGTTTCCTACTTTAACACAAAGTAATAGAGTAAGAAGTCCATGGAGGCTTCAATATACGTTAAGTAAATAACTACAACTTCAAGATAAATATATTCAATGAAAACAATGCTAAAATTGTGAACATGTGTTTATTTGATTTATTTAAAAGATGAAGTATTATATCTTATTTCAGTACACCTTATGTTTGCAATAAGCAGATGTAATAATATGGGGTCTATGACAATTCACCATGACCAACTCGCCACGGGACAACTTTATTTATTTTATATAATTAAATGGAATTGTTGAATTGTTCCACAGTGAGTTGTCCCATGGCAAGTTGGCCATGGTGAGTTGGCTGCAGCAAATTGGCCAAGACAAGTTGTCCCATTCCCAATAATACATTATGATATACCCATGATAAATAATGTGCACAAAGATTTAGGATTAAGGGGTAGAGTTAAGAGTATATCTGGGGCATGTCTGGCTTCTTTAACTATTTAAGGAGTTGACCAAATGTATGCAATTGCCAGTATTGGTGGCTCTTTTTGCAGTATTAGCCCTTCAGTATTAGGACATTTTTATTCTGCAAAATTCAGTTTGTAAAATTATAGAAATATTTAGAAACTTACATTTCATCAGAACTTTTAATGTACATACTATACACATGTCTAAGGTAATAAATCAGATTTCAAAACATATTTTTTGTCACTGCTTATTTGTGTTTATTAGAACCCATATTTGAAATTATATTTCTAAACAGATGGTCCATTCACTTTGAAGAAGAGTAGGCATTTTGTGGAAAAATATGTTATTATATCACTTATATAGAATTAGAACTTCTCTCCTGAAATTGATTCTCTGACACTGATGTCTTTTCACCCTGAATTTTACAGCTGCTAATAGAACAATGGCACAACTATCAAACTAACCTTCTATGTTTTTTATTTCATAGTACACTTGACACATATTTGCAATTTAAATCTGCATTTAATGAAAAAGCAAATTCATTTGGAAATAAAATATTTCAGTACAGTAGTAGCAATATAAATAGTAAGAGATAACACACCCACTTTAAGTAATATGACATAGAAAGCCCTACCCCAGCCCTATCCCAATCAAGCCCAATAGTAAAATTAGAACATTTGCTTTATATGCACAAAGGGTAACATTTGATGTCCCATATCTTCAGGAAGACAGAAAAGATTTGCTATCTGAAATCCTAAGAATTCCCCCCCACACACCCCCTTCTCAACAATTTGCATTTTGGAAATGCATAAACAAAATTATCAATTAAAAAAATAAATTAAAAATGCACTCCTACAGGTGAGAAAAGCCTGCGGATGTAAAAACATTTATACTAGTGAAAGTCAGAAGTTAAATCTAGCAGTTACATATTCAAACCTTATTTCTAATGACAAAAGAGATTCTTGTAGCCATTTCTGCCAAAAATGCACTTGGAATGTTCTCTGTCAGTATTATATTGGTTTAGGCATGGCACAGTTCAATTGATATTGGTGCTTTTTTAGATTATAGTAATCTATACTCTAGACCAGGGATCTCCAAACCTGCTGACTGGGCAATTCTGGGAGTTGAAGTCCACAAGACTTTAAATTATCACGTTTCGAGACCCCTGCTCTAGAATTTTAAGTTGCTGTGCCTTTGGATAAGTCTTCATTAGTAGGCAATTGAATTTAAATTCTCTCTGACTTGATAAGGGTCATGTGGACGGTTCTGAGCTTGTTCTTCAGGGGAATGTAGCCCTATCACTAATCTAAATATTTTCATCATTTTCTTTTCTTACTCACTTTATGAAAGTAGAAACATTGCTTTTGAAACTGCAATGTTTTCTATCCAGAGGGGACAATCTAGAAAAGGAAGAAGAGATTATATTAAAATAGACTGACAGAAGTTGATGATTCCATTTTATATAAAATTTGATAGTTTAACCTGCTAATGCTTTTGAGAAATAGGTAATTCCATTGGTAAAATATAAAGAGCAAATTGCCAGTTACAAACAATTCTACTTATTTCTCTTAGGTTACACCAAGTATATCTAGCAATGATTTCGGTAGGAAAAATTATACTTAAAATTAATAATCATCAAGTTGGAAAGGACTGTAGAAATCATCTATTCTAACTCAGGGGCAGGATTTGCTAAAGCAGTGGTTCTCAACCTTTTTAATGCCGCGACCCCAACCGGTCGTAAGTCGAGGACTAAACCGGTCGTAAGTCGAGGACTAAACCGGTCGCAAGTCGAGGACTAAACCGGTCGTAAGCCGAGGACTACCCAACCGGTCGTAAGTCGAGGACTTCCCTGCCCAGGAGTGCCGCGCATGCGTGGTTCCGCCCCCTGCGCCAGCCGAGGCGTAGCTGGCAAGCGGCAAAGACGGAGCAGGCCGACCACCAGCTGGCCCAGCCCAAGGGAGGTAAGGCACCCGCCGGAAAAAGGGGAAAAAATGGCGGACAAAAAAAATGGCGGACAGCCTTGCTTGGCGACCCCCGTGAAATGGTCGATCGACCCCAAATGGGGTCCCGACCCACAGGTTGAGAACCACTGTGCTAAAGCATCTCTGATAGAAAACAATCCGGCCTATGTTTCGATACCCTTGGTGATATTATTTAAAAGTTTTTATTTTAAAGTATTTATTTATATACCACATAATCCAATGGTCCTAGAAGACTCAAAAAATGAAATTAGTCTACAACTGGAGCTATAATGTTTATTTACTATACTTGCCTGCTACTCATTCCTGGAGGCCCCAAGTGGCTAATGACAAAAAATCCCTCAAGTAAAAATAAAGCCATTATTAAAAGTCTCAGCATCATCAGATAGGACCAAGGAAAAATATATAAAGTCAGGAGTTCACCACTACATCCTAACTTTCACAGCATGCCTTCTACTTGGCCAGGTGGGAAAGTTGGGCATACAATGCTCCTCTGAAACCTGGGGAAAGGACAGATCCTAGACAACTTCATTCATGATCTGCTGAAACTGCTGTGCAGCCACTTTTTCTATCATTTTCCCTAAGAAAGGGAGGTTGGATGCTGGATGAAGATTAGCTAGCAATGGCATCTTGCAAAGGGGACAAACCAACACCTCTTTAAGAGGCGAAGAAACAATCCCCTCTCTAGGAAGAGTTCGCTACCACCAGAACTCAACCACATGTCACTTCCTGGGCATCCTTAGCTAGTCAGGAGAGACATGGATATAAAGAGCAAGTGGCCAAGCTCACAACTGTAAGGTACCTGTCCAGTTCCTTAGGCTCACAGCTTCAAACCATTCCCAAATAACATGGAAGACTATGACCAAAGTATCTCCACAGGACCTCCACCAAGGCTGACCTCTACCTGGGAATGAATCCAAGCAATTTTGTCTGATAGATGCCTTGCAAATTCCTCTGCATATCTGTGCAGGTAAATCTACAAGTGCCCTCTACCCAAGACGGCTTAGGTTAAACAGAGCCAGCAGACAGCTATCTGCAAACACAATAAGGATGAAGAAGTACTTATGCTTCACGGTCCTGACCTCAAGTCCAAGGCAGTTCTAACCCATGTTCAACTGAGTTCATCCTTCACTGATCTCCAGTAACACTCTAGATGGTTCTTCTCCCATTTCCTTTGCCTCAACTATTTTATAAACCATGAAGAGTGATGAGAACCCATAGGAGGAAAGCAGTTGCAGGGGTGCAAACCAATTGAAAGCTTTGCCACCCTCTTATGCCAAGTGATGATCAAGGCCAAGCCTCATTTAGACCATACAGCAGACCATCAGGAACAACTCCCAGCTCTCTCTGGAACACATCTGGGACCATAAGTCACCAAGGGTGGACCAATTTAATAGGTCCCAGCACTCTATGGCAGGGGGCAGTGCAAGAGAATCTCATGGTTACCAGTGAATAACTGGACCATAAGAAATGCAGTTTTGCCCAAATCCATCTTATACACTGGGTGCAGCTCAGTATGCTGACATAACTCTACTACTTTGGGAGATGTACCCACTCTCTAAAGACTTCTGGTACAATTCAAGGGACTGGTTATCACCTATAAAATTCTTCCAAGTACAAGACTGAGATATCTGTGGAGCTTCCCGTTTCCAATTGCCTCTGCTGGTCCCATAAGATCTGGCAGAACTGGACATTTCGGTTCCTTGGTGAGACACAGGAAGCATGCCTTTTCTGTCACAGTGCTTTCCCTGTGGAACACCATTTCCTCTAATATCCAGATGGTCCCAACTCTAATGGCATTCCAGAAGGCCCTGAAGACCTGTTTTCAGGGATATTGGTCAGAGTGTGGGATCAGCCCGTCTAGAAATGTTGAATGTTCAATGCATATTGAATAGAATATGCAACGTCCGGCCTTGGATATTGTTACTGTTTTTCTCTTCTGGATATTTGTTTTGTTTTGTTTTTAATACCCTTATCTTTGTAAGCCACCCAGAGTTGCTTTTACAAATTGGGTAACTATATAAACCAAATAAAATGTCATTCATTTCTAAAAGGTGTTCCTGTCAAAGTCAGGCACCTGAAAGGAGGAGGAAAATCTTTGAGTTGGTACTATCTAGCACCTGATAAGCAAATATAAGGAATTGTGAGGGAATGGAGTTGCTGTCTGCGCTTGGGGAAAGCAGCTGCAGCAAGGCAGGAACACCTCCCAACCCCCAATTCAACAAAGCTAAGCTCATGCTTTTTTCCCATAAAGGGCTGTAAAAGTTTAAAGCCCCAGAAACATGACAGGATATGGGATCAATGCATTCCCCCATTTAGTTTACTCACAAGCATCCATGCTGGCGTTTCAGCTGTCTGGCATATTGAGACAAACCCTGGTGTTTCAGAGACTTTTTGAGGTCCAAAGGCAGTTTCATATTACACAGCCCCTCTAGCCTACAAAAGCTCCTGGAAGGGGATAACTATCTATGAGCCTTGGGGTTTGTGTCATTGAGAAAGGAGTATAGGTAGTCCTCAAGTTACAACCACAATTGACTCCCAAATTTATGCTGCTGGGTGAAACATTTGTTAAGTGAGTCTGCCCGTTTCCTTGCCATAGTTGCTAAGTGAATTATTGCATTTGTTAAGTTAGTAACATGGTTGTTAAGTGAATCTGGATTCTCCATTGACTTTGCTTGTCAGGTCACAAAAGCTGATAACATGAGCCCAGAACACTACAAGCATCATAAATATGAACCACTCGCCAAGCATCTGAATTTTGATCATGTGACCATGGGGATGGTGCAACCACCTAAGTGTAAAAATGGTCATAAGCCTTTTTTTCAGTGCCATTGTAACTTTGAATGGTCACTAAATGAACTGTTGTAAGTCAAGGACTATCTGTACTTGGCAGCAGAAGGGATCTATAGTTATTTTTAGTTCCACATCATTCTTGTTTACATTTTTTTAACTAGAACTTTTGATTTCCATTAATTTATTTAATAAATCACTTTAGCTTTCCTTTCATTTGTATGTTCATTGCCTCCTAGTCCCTGAATCTACTGTGGCAAAACAATGTTGTTTACGGCTAAGTCATGTCCAACTCTTCACAACCCATGGACCATAGCATGCCAGGCCCTCATGTCCTCCACTGTCCTCCCAGAGTTTGTCCAAATTCATGTTCATTGGGTCAATGACACTAGCTAACCATCTCATCCTCTGCCATCCCCTTTTCCTTATGCCTTCAATCTTTCTCAACATCGGGGTCTTTTCCAATGTGTCCTCTCGTTATTAAGTGGTCAAAGTATTTGAACTTCACCTTCAGTATCTGATCTTCAAAAGAACAATCAGGGTTGATTTCCTTTAGGATAACTGATTTAATTTATTTTTAGTCTAAGGGACTCTCAAAAGTCTTCTCCAGCATCACAATTTGAAAGTATCAATTCTTTAGCGCTCAGCTTTCCTTACAGGCCAACTCTCATAGTCATACATTATTCCTGGGAAAACCATAACCCTGACTGTATGGACCTTTGTCAGCGAGGTGATGTATCTGCTTTTTAATAGGCTCTCTAGATCTGCCATAGCTTTTTTCCCAAGAAGCAAGCTTCTTTTAATTTCATCACTGCAAATTGCCATCTGCACTGATCTTGGAGTCCCCCCAAAATAAAATCTGTTAACTGTTTCTTCCCTTTATACTTGCCAGGAAGTGAAGTGACTTGATACCATGATCTTAGTTTTTTAATGTTTACTTTCAAGCCAACTTTTGCACTCTCCTCCTTTACTGTCATCAAGAGGGTTTTTAGTTCCTCTTCACTTTCTGCCATTAAAGTATATCATCTGCATATCTGAGGTTATTAATAACCTCAACAATCTTAATTCTGGCTTGCGATTCCTCCGGCATTTTACATGATGTACTCTGTACATAACTTAAATAAGCAGGGTAAGAATATATGGCCTTGTTGTGCTTTGAACCAATCAATTGTTCAAGGTTCGTCTTCTTGACCTGCAAACACTTTGCACTTAGGACAGCAGTAATTCTGCACTAAGTTGCATTTCATTTTTGTTCTACCCTTCCAACAGCTTTGCTTCCTAAACATAGCAACCTGCTTTCTAGCTCCTGAATGTCACAGGGATTACAGAAGTCTTTCACACAGTTTAGCCACGTGTACAAATAATCAGGACAAAGGAAAAGATGGCTTATCTAGGAATATATTGACATTACCCCAAGCTGTTGGTCTTCCACAGGTTGCTGTGTAATACAGCATACATCACTCCAGCACCCAGGAGAATCATGAATAAGATCTGTTTCATGACCAGCATGCCTGAAACACAAATATTAAATGAGGCTTTTATCTCTAAAAGTTAATTGTGGGCATGAATACAGTAGAAAACAACTCTTAATTTATACTATTCACTAGTTATTTATTGGATGAATAATTCCTTTCTCAGACTTTCAAGCATAAGCAAATAATCTTTATTTCTATAGGGTTTCCATATATAATGGTGTTTATTTACGCTTTGATTATGACTATGCTGTGCCAGTTATAGTTACTGAGATTTTAAATCAAACACTTTTTTTAAAATGAATTTTCTCACCGGGGGGGGGGGAGGCTATGACCCCGAACACACTGTTGATCTATTATGTATTTTTTTTCAAGTTCCAAATTTTTTATTAGTTTATCAAAATACAAAATACAAAGAAAAATGAAAGTACGGGAAGGGATCTATTATGTATTTGTGACTTATATGGCTATCAAACTATAACTATATATTCTTAATAAACATAGTTTAGAATTTCCTTAGAACATTTGGAATTTATATGTTTGCTAAAATTATTTTAAATTATTGTCTTCCTCCATCCTCAATGCTTTGATTATGAAATAAACATACCCACACATATTCACTATTACAGCATCTTAGTAACAGAGCTCCGCATATTCTGTTGTTGGGATCAGAATACTATTCTATTAAGATGGCTTTCTATCTTGCATAGTTTGCTTGTCCATCACATTTACGGTCAATCTGTTTCAGATAAACTCAAAGAATAAGTCTGTTATTTAACATAATCAGAAAGGGGAAATTAATTAAAAGAAGGCTGAATGTACCTGAAACACAGAAGATCAAGGAAAACAAGATAATTTCCTTCTTCAAAAGGCCAAAATATTGCTCTCGCCAAGTAACAAAGTTGTAACAGAAGGCTTCCTTGACTTGGGCCCATCAGATATTAACTAATGAACATCACAGTTCAAGCACAGCATATTATCATATCCCATAATCATCCATGGACATCTTTTAACACAGAAACACCTTTTTCACATTTCTACTTACTCTATGGATTTAAGCATCCTATCTTAGAATTAATTTCTTAAATATGTTAACACTTAGAAAATTTTTCAGGATTCAGGGATATCTGGGAGGCTAAAAAAAGCCAAGATAGCATTATAATTGTGTTTTACCTATGTTGCAATGTAATAAAGAAGGTAGGTCTTTAACTACTGAGTTGCAGCCGCTGTTTTGACTATTTTTTGATTCTGTGAGAATCAAATTATAATCATACTCAGTGTTTTTGTAGCACTCTTGACTATCAAAAGCATGTTATATGCATTGTTCTAAGATTCTTTTAATCTAATGTAGGAAAAAGGTAAGAATCTTTGCAAAGTATTTGAGTCATTAATTATGTCAGCTATGTTGTATCTTTTTGTGAACAATCTTGGCAATCGACCTACGGTTGCAACACTTACAATGGTTAGTTATTCTGTGATCATGTGATTGCCATGATTTGGTTAATGACTACAATCAGAATTGCCAGATCTGCCATCTTAAGTTAACATGGTATGTGATTTTTTTTGTGTTTTAAAACCACATCGCATAGCAATGGCCTCAATTATGATCATTAACTGAGGACTATCTGTACAAAGAACCTAGTGAGGGATGGTCTTATATTTGTATTGCCACAGGTGGATCTCCACTCTATAAAGAAGCAATATGAAAAGAAGTATTCTTGGATAAATAATGAAACAGAAAGATTAATTATCAAGCATGTGCAATATAACATGTCTCATTTAATAAAACATTCATACAGTCATGTCTCAGATAACAGAAAATGAATAGAAAAATTGTGTAGTAATTGATACTCATACTGCAATAGACTAAAAATAATAAGAAAATGTAGGGTTTTTTTCCCATTTGAAAGAGCAGGAAAAGGAGAAAACAAAAAAAATTCAACTACAAGAATGATGTAACTACAGTAGTGACAATAATCTGTAGATACTACAGTTATCCCAACCAAGATTTGAATTAATTTCACTATTTAATGGAAAGGTACTGGTATGAGTATTGAGAATGCTAGAATAGACTAAGAGGATTAAAAGCAGAACAGCTTATGCTAGTGGCAATAGAAAGAAAGAAACACGAGATACATTCAGTACACAAATGTCCAAATAAAAAGAGAAAGTAACTAATGTTGAAGCCGTGGGTAAAAGGGAACAGGTTTTTTGTTTTGTTTTGTTTAAGGCGGGGTGGGGTCGGAATAAAAGAGTATAAACTTCCTAAAATGGGAAGGAAACTTTAGTACTGTAATATAATAATAATAATAATAATAATAATAATAATAATAATA